GTTTTCTGGTGGAGCATTGCTTCTTCCTGAGAGGTTTTTTTCTGTCAAAGAGGAATTCACTATAAAATTAAATTTCCTCAGGCAGGATTGCAGGAACTCCTGAATGCAGAGTGAAAACTGCCGTAAAAAGCCTGTGCCAGCAATTTGGCTTTTTCCAGGAGAAAAGTTTGGGAATATCTTTAAGACACGGACCCAGTGTCCCAAGGAGGCAGAGTGAGGGCTTTGCCTCTGGACGGCAGAGGTGAGGGGAGACGGGGGCGAGTGAGGCAGCAGGACAGTTTCTGTGACCCGTCTCATCTGTGCACTGAGCGGTGCTTGGTCTCAAATTGCTGCTTAATTTGGGGAGGAAGCCTCGTCTGAAGGAGCGTTCATCTCCTGTGCTGTGCGTTTGCTGTGCTGGGCTCCGCTCAGCACCTCCCCGTGCGATGAACAGCCGAGCCTGGTGCCCCATCCCCACAGGTCTGTGATGTTCTGCCGTTTGGTTGCTGAGCTGGGTCTGTGCTGGCTGCTCCGGGCACCTTCCCCGTGCTCCCGGCATGGACGGGGCAGAGCTGCTTCTCTATTTCTTCCACCAAAACCAGGAGATGAATTAGGACAGCCCAGACCTGCTACACTGCATAACTTGGCTGGTTGCAGGCAAGAAATATCTATCTGCGTGTCCCACTTGAACTGAAAAGGTAGGATAGAACTCCCCCTAAGGAAAGACAGGAAAAAAAAAAATAATGGGGAGGATTTTGCCACACTCCTCCTCTCCAAAAGTACGTTTGGATTTTTCAATCCACCCCTGTTCCAGGGGGTAGAGGGCTCACATCCCTGCTGGTGGCCAGGGAAGCAGAGGTGTCAGTGTAAGGTTAATGATTGGCCTTGATGATTTTAAAGGTCTTTTCCAATCTGGGCCATTCTCCGATTCTGTTTGGGGTGAGCTGTTTGTGCAGAGCAAGAGCTGTCCCCGTCTCTGGTCGCTGCTCCTCTCCGCTCTGACACTAGGTGGTAACATCCATGTTCCTGTCAGCCTGCGCTTGGCAGATCTGGGGCTGCTTCATGATCTCGCACCTCTGTAGGGCAAGCCCTGGAGCTCACTCGACTCCCAAAATGTGGCTTTTTGCTGGCGAAATGCCTGGCAAGAGGTCGTTCAAATAAGTGAAACCGGCATCGAGTTAAACGTAGTAAATTGCTGTGAGCATATGATATATGTAAAGGGCTGTGAGTCTGAGAAATAAAGTGAAATATTTGGTTAAGCCGTGGGTGGTCCGGGCGCTGGGTCCTCCTAGGATACTGCGGATGCAAAGAGTTTAGAGAGGTTAAAAACTCTGCAGGCAAATTTGGGGCAAACCTCTGCCTCAGGATGAAGCGGAGTACGTTTAGGAGCGGGGG